TAGCCAGTGTTCTTAACTGCTGAGCCATCTCTCCAGCCCCAAGAAGACTTATTTTTAAGACAGGGTCTCGGGGTCTCACTATGTAACACAGGCGAGCCTGGAACTTGCTAAATAGCCCAGTCTGGCCATGCACACATAGAACTACTCCTGCCTCTGCCTCTTGAGTTTTGGGATTAATGGTGAGACCTACAACACTTGGCAAACTAATCAAGATGGTTTATAAAGGTCTTTTCTTTTGCTCACATTCAAGGTGGAAAAATTAAGGCGAAAGACATGGCACACCTTATACTCCTATTTATGCATACAGACATATACACACACATACATAGGCATACACACTCACACATTAAATAAACAAATTTCATTTTTAAGAGATTTAATACAATTTAACTTGCTTCATGTCCTAAGTATTGATGATACAGATAAGGCCTCAAATTGGTTCATTGATGGGGCTGGACAGACGGCTCAGACTTTAAGGGCAGTGGCTGCTCCTGTAGAGGACCTGAGTTTAGTTCCCAACACACACACATTGCCATGAACAAGATTCCTTAACTCCAGTTCCAGTGGTCCATGTCCTCTTCCGGCCTCCCTGTGCATTGCATGATTTGTGTGCACTTACAAACATTCTGGTAAAATACTGAGAAACATAAAATTAAAAAAATAAATTTAAAAAATGAAGTGGGCTCATCAGGTAAAGGGTCTTGGCTCTGTGCCTGAAAACTGGTTTCCAGACCTGAACCCATACTCTGGCAACAGAACAGATTTTGGAAAGTTGTTCACTGGTCTATTTATTTATTTACTTTTTATTTATTTATATTTATTTTTAACTGTAACAAAACATAAATATATAACTAAAGAATAAATGTAAAATACAGTATGTTTTTTGTTGTATGCACACAACAAGGAGCAGTTTGGGTTGAGATATTGGCTCAGAAGTATATGGGTTCTTGCAGCAAATTCTCATGCCCTGAGCACAAATTGGAGGACACACATTTTAAAAGGAGAGAACCAACTTGTGTTTTGATTTTGATTGCCATAAGTTGCAATGGAAGTAGTACTGGGGCACCAGCATGGGAATATACATTAAGGAGCATAGAAACACATAAATATAATAAAATTACCTTATAGGCTTTTAATTTTACTTATGTGCATTAAGTGTGGTTGATTTGAGAATATACTGGTTCAGATGCTCAAGGAGGCCACATGACTTAGATTTCTGGGAGCCTGTGTTTCAGGTGGTTGTGGGATGCTTGACATGGGTGCTGACATCTGAATTTGGAGCTGCTGCAAGATCAGAAAATTCACTTAACCTCTGAGCCATACTCCAGTATGATAAGTGATTCTTAAATATTTTGTCTGTAGTATTTTGCCTACATGTAGGTAAGTGTACCCGTGTATTCAGTACATGTGTAGGCTAGAAGAGGGTGTCAGATCTCCTTGACTTGGAGTTATGGACAGTTGATTAGATGCCATGTAGATCCTGGGTACTGAACCTGAGTCTGTTGTCAGAGCAGCCAATGATCTTAACCACTGAACAATCTCTCCAGCATCATTATTTTTTATTAAGACCAGGTCTCACTCTGTGGCCTTGACTGACCTGGAACTATTAAAATAAACAAGGGTGGCCTTGAGCTCAGAGAGACTCCTGCTTCTGCCTCTGGAGTTTTGGGATTAAAGTACTGCCCCACTACATCTGGCAATAATCAGGAAGGTTTTTAAAGTCCTTTTCTGTTGTTCCTATCAAAGGCGGTGGGGCATGGACATGGCTAAATATCCACCCCCTCTTTCTGCCAAGTCTTCCAACCAGAGTTTGATCATAGAGGTTCAAATAGAGGAAGGAGAGAATTGACTCCTTTAAATTGTCCTCTGACTTAACCAAAATTGCACTGTGGCATGGGCACATGCACATAAACTCACAAACAGACACATGTAAATGAAGGCAAACATAATCCTACAGTAAGTAAATATATAAAGAGACGTAATGAAAACATTAGGTTTATTTCCAAGAGTTATACATTGAAAGTGATATAATGAGTTCCTCAAGTTGGCTTACTATTAGGGCTGGAGATAAGGGCAGTGGCTGCTCTTGCAGAGGACCTGAGTTCATTTTCCAGCACACATGTGGCAGCTAACAACTGTCTGTAACCTCCATTCCAGGAGATCGAACATCTTCTTCTGGCCACTGTGGGCATTGCACAGGTACACTTATAAATATGCAGGTAAACACTCATACACATAAAATAAAAATAGGTAAGTAAAAGTTAAAAAGAAGTTGGCTCATGGGTCTTGGCACCATGCCTGAAAACTGTAGTTGGAGGCTGGAATCACACCCTGGCCCTAAAGTACCTATTTTTGAAAGTTGTTCACTGACCCACCGAGATACAAAAAAATAAGTTAATAAAAGTTAAAAGCCAGTTTTCTTTTGTTGTATGCATTGAACATGGTGATACTTGGAATAGGGAGTTGGTTGGTGGTAAAGGTACTTGCAGCCAAGCCTGATCACCTAAAGTGCCAGTGGGGGATCTGCAGTGTAGAAGTGAAAAGGTCAAAATGGCCTCATTTTGTTCTGTCTGACTTTTGCTTTACCCTGTGTTTCTGTCCAGGTGCCCCCACGGCCTGCTCATGTTAACTGCAGTCAGCCAGGCAGAATGTCTCATACAGGCAGTTCCAGGGGTGGCAGGGGGGGTACTGTTTCTACAATACTGGAAAACTTAACAACTAGCCGTGCAAAACAGTTCTTTTATTCAGCTATACCTGAAGGTTCAGGGTACCCATTGTTTCTGCAATTCAGAGAAGCTTGCTTTTCCTAACTGAAACTTAGAAACATTTTGTTAACTGAAAACCCCTTTGTTAAGTGACTTGCCCCTGGCCTGGTTTAACTATGGTGATCTGATGTAACTATGGTTATTGGCTTTGCCCCTGGCATGATGTAACTGCGGTTTTAAGCTTTATAAACCTTGCCCTGCTTCTCCTCAGGGTCCAGAGTTCTTTCTTCCTATTGCCTCTCTCAATTGCTGGCAATTAGTAAAGTACTTTTAATTGGACCGTGACTATGTAGTGCTCCTTTATGCCTCGTGCTCAGTATTATAGAGAGAACCAGTTGTCCTTTGATGGCTGTACTTGTGCAGTGGCAATGGGTTCAGGGCAGCAGTATACACACACACACACACACACACACACATACACACACACACACACACATACACACACACACACACACATACACACACACACACACACATACACACACACACACACACATACACACACACACACACACATACACATACACACGAATAGAATATAAAAATACGTAAAAACAATAAAACTATTTTAAAGATTTTAAAATTTCAATTATGTAGGCTGGGCATGGTGGCGCATGCATTTAATCACAGCACTTGGGGGGCAGAGGCAGGTGGAACTCTGAGTTCAAAGCCAGCCTGGTCCACATAGTGAGTTCCAGGACAGCTGGGGCTACAGGGAGACCCTGTCTCAAAAAGACCAAAACATTTTTTCAATTATGTGTATGAGTGTATTCTGTTTGAGAATACTCTGCTGAGTGCAGGTGACCAAGGAAGCCAGAGGCATTGGACTTCTTGGAGCCTGTAATTCAGGCAGTTGTGAGCTGCCTGACATTGGTGCTGCATGTGAACTCTGGGTCTCTGCAGGACTAGAAAGCTCTATTAACAGAAACTACTTTAATTAATTTATTAACAGACATACATATATTTTAAATTCTATTTATTATTTTTATTTTATGTGTATGAGTGTTATGCCTGCATGTAGGCAAGTGCACCCTAATTGTGCAATGCCTGTGGAGGTCAGAAGAGGCTGTTGGATCCCCTGGTATTGGAGTTACAGACAGTTGTTAGCTGTCATGTGGGTGCTGGGATTTGAATCCTGGTCTTCTGCAAGAAGAGTCAGTGTTCTCAACCCCTGAGCCATCTCTCTAGCCCCTTATTCCAGGCTTTTTATGTGATTTATTTATTTATTTATGTATGTATTTAATTTATTTATTACTGTTTGTACTTTGGAAATGTGGGTATGCACATGCCTCAGTGCATGGGTGGGGAAGGCTCAAGACAATCTGTAGTGATCAGTTCTCTTCTTCCACCATTTGGATCCTGAGGATGAAAGTCAGATCTTCAGGCTTGGAAAGAAGCATGCACACATGCAGAACCACAGGAAAATCATAATTCCACCACCTGGAATAGATACAGCAGTAAATTTCTTCAATTTTTTTTATTATTACTATGTACTTATTTGCAGGAACTCAAGTCAGGAACCTGGAGCACAGACCATGGAGGAATGCTGCTTACTGGATTGCTCCCTTGGCCTGTGCTCAGTCTGCTTTCTTACATGATCCAGGAACACCTGCCCAGGAGTGGCACTGCCCATAGTGGTTTGGGCCATCCCACATCACTCAACAGTCAAGAAGATGCTCCCACCCCCGACATGGTCACAGTCCAATCCAGTGGAGGAAATTCCCCAATTGAGGCTCCCTCTACCCACACGTGTAGCTTTAATTGACACTGTATATGAGAGAAGACTTTCTGTTAGTTGGTTAGGGAAAAGCACTTCTGGAATCAACATAAATCTGCTTTTATTTTTGTTTCCCATCAGACGATTTAAACTGCCATAATTTCCTTTTGATGCTATAGTAGCATGTCAAGTCATTCTTATTTTGCACGTTCTTATTGGTAGAAAATGTGACAGCGTGCATTATTATGTTTTACAGAAAGAAGCTTAGTGATGACTATTCTGAGAAGTTCGCTGGTCTGTTTCAGCAGTGGAGTTCAGAGTTACAAGAATTTAAGGAAAAAGAAGAAAAAGTGATTGTTGGTATCACAATTAATTTCATCTAGTAGAAATTATGCTCCTGTAGGAATAGAGAAGCCTTAGCTGGACTTAGCTGTATGGAACTGACCCAGACTCCTGTGCTAGTCCCATTGAACTCTCAGCCACAGAGACATAGGCACATGCCATCCCCAAGAAAGCCTCTGGTCTTGTTATATTCGTTCTTATTATCATGGATACTTTGGATTCCTGCAATTTGAAGCCACAAAATGTTGTCAAAAGATGAAGGAAATAGGGCTGCTTTATATAAAGGAAACCAGAGGCTTCCAACACAGTTGGAATGAATAAGGAACGGTTACTTACGTAGCGTCTTTGTCTCTGTTGCTACTTCCTGGTGGCCTTTTCACATGTAATAAGTTGATTCTTCATGTGTGAGGTTTATAGCTTTAGCAACTGCAGTGGACTGACACAGTCGTTTTCACTAGCCCTGAGAGAAAAGTGTGTACTGAATGAGTTTGCATCACTTTCCATTTCTGAACAAACGGTAGTCAGAACAGCACTTAGACATCTGTCTTTGTAGACACAGGGACAGAAGCCAGGACCATGGGCAAGCTAGGCAAGCACACTACAGGTAGACTACAGCACCAGCCCAGAAAATGGCTACTCTTAATGACTAGATTTGTGTTACTTCGCCATCTCAGGCAGATAAACAGTAAACCACATTCATACACAGTATGACTGCATTCACTATGACAATGATTCTTTAGTTTTCTATAATTATCAAGCATTTCTCTCACAATCCCTGACCAGATCAATTCTACATGTTTTGGAGTTTGTTGGTCAAGCCAGTCCGGATATGTTCAGTATGATATGTACATGAAATTGATTCCAGGAAGATGATCAGTACAACACTAATAAATGAGCATGGATTTCAGGAGAGAGAGAACGTGACTAAAGACACAGAGATAAGAATATGTAGCTTTGAGGCAATATGTAAACCACAAAAAGGGGAGCAAATTAGGAAGAGAGGGTCTTTAATGTCAATGAGAAATCTAAGACTAGTAAATAGCATGAGTACAAGACAGAAAAGGAAAGAAATTATTACTGTGGCATCATGAGGACAAAAGAAAGCGAGGCACATTTTTCATTTCATGTATTTATGTTTGTTTGATTGGTCTTTTTTAGAAAGGGTCTCCCTGTAGTCCTAACTGGCCTGGAACTCACTATGTAGACCAGGATGGACTTGTTCTCACAGAGATGTGCCTGCCTCCGCCTCCAGAGTTCAGAGATTAAATGTCTTTGCCATGACAGCCAGCTATTTATTTTTTAAAGATAGGCGAAACGTTTTGTTTGTGTGCTGGTGAAGATAATCAAGACATCCTTATTTTCATCTTGTGATAAAGGGACCTGGAGCTCGGGCCTTTGCATGCTGCTGACTTGTATCCCCAACCCACTTTATGCTTTTTATTTTGAAACTGGGTCTGTCTACGTTGCCCATGCTGGCTCAGAACTTCTAAGATCAGCTGTCTCATACCCCCCAAAAGCTGCAATTATGATTGGCCTTTGCCACAAGGCTCAGATAGACGGACAAATATAAAACACTAGAAAGAATGGGCAGTTTGGTGAAATCTTAGAAACAGATGACATGTATGAAGATGTTTAGATTCACCAAGGACAAGTACAGTGCACCCCGAGGAACTGGAAATTAGAGCCCAGCTAGATGTAGGTGTCTTGTACATGTGATGGGAGAATGAACTTTCTCTTTGGATTGCTTCTGTGAGTTCAGTGAAATAAAGTCATCAGGTGGTGACAGTGTTGCCAGCAAATGAGCTAGCTAGGGTTTAAATTTCTGTGCCCGAGATTTAGCCAAATAAATGTGACAGCGAGATGGGAGCTATTTATAGATGCAAAGGTACCATTCAACTCAATACTATAGAATTTAAGCTGGGAAAGAAGTTAATGATGACTAGAGTAGGGATGACCATGAAAAGGAGGTAGCTTAGTGATTGAATATATGACACGTGGAGAAAGAGTTTGCATTTGGTGAGACCCTGGGTTCTAGAAACTTTATAATAAAATCATAGTGTCAGCAAAACTAGCTATGAAATAATGGGCAAATAATATACTGCTGTGCCTCAGTTTCATCTTTGAGAATTAGTGATATGTGTACACAAACACGTTAAAACTTATATTATATTCTGTTTTGCATTAATTAGTTTTG